GTTTTTTTTTTTTTGTGCATGGATAGAGTTTTTACCTCCTTTGGATAAATACTGAGGAGTATGATTGCTGGATCACTTGGTAAGAGGAGGTTTAGTTTTTTAGGAAACTGCCGAACTGTCTTCCAAAGTGACTGGACTAGTTTGCATTCCCACCCGCAGTGAAAGAGAGTTCCTGTAGCTTCACATCCATACCATCCATCATCTGGTGTTATTACTGTCCTAGATTTTGACCATTCTAACAGGTGTGTAGTGGTATCTTGTTTTAACTTGTATTTCCCTGATGACATTTGATGTGGAGCATCTTTTCATATGCCAGTTGGCCACTTGTATATCTTCTTTGGTGAAATACAGTCTTCAGCCTACTTTAAAGCTGGGTTGTTTGTTTTCTGATTGTCAAGTTTTTAAAGTTCTTTGTATGTTTTGGATAACAGTCCTCTATCAGATGTGTCTTGTGCAAGTATCTTCTCCCAGTCTGTAGCTTATCTTCTGGTTCTCTTGATACTGTCTTTAGCAGAACACTTTTTAATTTTAATGAAGTCCAGCTAATAAATTCTTTCTTTTATAGATTGTGCCTTGCTGTTCTGTCTAAGCAAGAATCACCACATCGAAGCTCTTATGTTGTCTTCTAGGAGTTTTGTAGTTTTTCATTTCACATTGAGGTCAATGATCCATTTGGAGCTAATGCTGGTAAGACATAGGAGGTCTGTCCAGGAGATATCCAGCCATGTAATATGAAAAATAGAGACATTTATTGAAGAAGATAGAAGATACAGGAGACATTGTACATAGGACAGTGACTCCTTAGTGCCCTTCAGAGTAGGCACCTTGGGACCTCAGACTGTTCTCCCAATCACCATCAGCTACCCCTCTGTATTTCCCTGAATCTCATTAGTGGTCTGAAATCTCTTCCCTTTAAAAGGTGATTTTAGTTTGGGGAAAAGCCAGAATTTACAGGGCACCAAATCTGGGCTGTAGGTGGGCTGAGTCACCTGGGTGATTTGATGTTTCACCAAAAATCTCCCTGAGACATACATGACCAGGCACATTGTTGTGATGAAGCTGCCAATCACCAGTTGCCCATGGATGTGGCCTTCTGAATCGTATGAATAGTTTCCATGGAGGAATGTTCAATCCTAACACAGAATTTGATGCAGATTCATTGCTCTACTTGCTCAGTCAGTGTGAATGTGATGGCCACACAGTTCATATGCTCACTCAATGGTGTCTGTTGCCCCCACTGACTAGTACAGTGAAGTCATTCATCATTGTTCATACATGTGCATTCCAGTTCACTCTCCTTGGCTGCCAGGTTATATCAGTGTCGCCCAAGTGGCTGGACTTTTTCCAAACAGGCCTCATATAAAACCTGTGTCTAGATTCTTCCTTCCTTCCTTCCTTCCTTCCTTCCTTCCTTCCTTCCTTCCTTCCTTCCTTCCTTCCTTCCTTCCTTCTTTCTTTCCTTTCCTTTCCCTTCCTTTCTTTTCCCTTCCTTTCCTTTCCCTTCCTTTCCTTTGCCTTCCTTTCCCTTTCCTTTCCTTTCCTTTTTTCTTTTCTTTTCTTACTGTTCAGTTGCTCCAGCACCATTTGTTGAAGAGGCTGTCTTTGCTTTACTATATTGCCTTTGCTCCTGGTCAAAGACCTGTGGACTATATTTATAAGGGTCTATTTCTGGGCTCTCTATTCTGTTTCAATGACCTATTTGTCAGTTTTTTCACTAGTACTATACTATCTTGATTATTGTAGCTTTATAGTAAGTTATGAAGTCATATTCACTTCTTTGAAATTATAGGAAATCAGATCCCCAGCAAAGCAGCCGCAAGCACTTCAGCAGTCAGAGGGAGGAGTCGCCTGCAGCTGCTTTCCTTGTGAGTCTTCACGGTGCTGGAACTGGCTCAGACTGGCTTGCCAGGGCCCATGACACACCTCCCCTCCAGACCCCTTGTCAGCGGCGTCATGTTGGTGTCTTACAGTTGACCATGGGGGGAAGATTCATACCATAGAAATTGGCAAATGCTGCAAATCAGGACTAATTTACTTTTCTTCAGAGAACTAGTCCAGCATAAACCAGAAAAACCCTGGTTTTACATCTCATTTGCTTTTCCCTTTGCTGGTCATTATCGAATGCCTTCTCACCATCATAGTTAACATTTCTTAGTCATGTTGTGTCAGTTAGGCACTGTGCTAAGGTCTTCCACAGTGACTTCTCCAGGTAGGTCTGTGATCTCAGCTCATGGTTGACGGATGCTGAAGGGCAGACTAGCAATGGGCAAGTTTCATTTTGCAGGTGCAGTCTGCAAATACATAAATTGAGGCTCAGCAAGGTGAGAGCATTTTCCCGAGGTCATGCAGCCTGTAAGTGGTAGACTAGGGACTGGGGCTTTTGGCCGAGTCCTACTTGTAACCACCATGCACTATGTTTTTCCTACCAAAGACAACTTTCCTGGGCTCCCCATTATGACACTGGGGTCCTCTCTGCACCTGGGCTGATACCAGGCCTCTAAGAGCCTTGGTATCCTCATCTGTATTTCCAGGCTGGCGATGATGGCCTTGCCCAGCCCAGAGGATGGCTTACTGCTTGAAGGACAGTTTGTATAAGGTTGCTCTGGGAAGCTCAAGTGCTGTATACAGGGGAGACATCATTGCATGCTAAAAAGTGAAGGAAAAAATGTTTATAAAAAGAACAGCATGTCCCAGTTTAGAAGTTCAGCTGAAGTGGGTATTTTATATAAACACAGGTTGTAAGATATATTACAGCCAGTGTTTCTCAGTGACCTGGCAGAACTTCTGATCTGGGATTGTCTAAACTTATCTCTTGGAACATTTGGGTTTAGGTCCCCCTAACCTTCCCAGATAGTGACTAGCGATCAAGGTAGCCCTAGTGTCATGGGCAGATTTGGATGGCGGATGTTGTCTAGGAATCAAATCATTAATGGGACAGGTCAGTGTTAGACCGTTGACATTTAGTCACTTCAGGGAGAATTCCTGCCATATCATGTTCACATTTTAATAGAGAGGCTCATAGCTACTTACACTTTCGACAGCCAGCTTATTTTATTGTAGGTAGTTACTAAGCATTATCGTCTGCACTGCACTGAGCTTTCCGTGATGTCAAACAAACATTGAATCACTTTAGAAACCCCCAGCACCAAGTATGGAAGTTGGTAGCGGGCGTTGCTTTGGGAGTATCTGCTGAACCAGTGTGCGGGTCCCCTTGGGCCGTCTGTCTGCAAGCTTTGGAAGTTCCTCAGGTGTCTTAATCGCAGTTGGACCAGGTGAGCAGGGCAAGGCCAACAACCGTGGATGTCTCGTGTTACAGTTCTTCCATGTGCCCTCAGGATATCAGAGGTGTTTGGCGGCAACACAAAAATTTCTGCGTACTTCGTAAATGATACAGGCCAAGTCCCCTTCTCTGTTATACAAGACTGACCCTGGACTCTTCTGCCCCAGGTACCTTTGCTCCACTGTCCCCACTGTGAGGAATGATCTTCTGTAATTCTTTTGCCTGGCCGACTCTTACATGCTCTTCAAGAGTAGGTTTGGGTCTCATCTCCTCGTGAAGTGCTCTCTGGTGTGTGGGTTGAGATCGGTCTGTGTGTTCACCTACCTATGTCTCTCTGGACCTGAGTTCTGACATTATATTGAAGTGACCTTCTGTGTTTCTCACTTCCCCCGAGACTTCTCTAGGGCAAAGAGCAGAAGAGTGTCCATGGCTGGCAGGTCAGCAAATGGAGGAACTGAAATCACTGATTCCAAATGGTATTCCTCCTCCCGGTAGGAGCGTGACATGGAGATGAAATGCAAACACTTTGCAGTTCAGTGGAATGATAGCCCTTTAAGTGACCAAGCAAGAGTCTCCCTTCCCACCGGTGAGGGGTGGATGGAGTGTGGAGTTTCTTGGTAATAGATTCCATTTTGTGGCTAAGTCTGGATTTGTCTGAGCACAGATGGCAGTTCCAGCCTCACTGCAGAAGGGGTTATTCAATCGTGAGGGAGAAGAGAATCAGATAGTTCTCCATTCCCGTCCTCCGGATGAGAGGAATGGGGCTGTGCATCTGAAGAGATCCCTGAGAGGAGACAGTGGGCTCACTACCAAAGGTGGAAACATCAAAGGCCTCCGAGCTGCCCTCAGGATTCCCTTCTTACCTGTGGTTGTGTGACACATAAACTACTCCTTCCTGTTGCCAACTTATTACTGATCTAGTTACCTACAGGTGCGCCCGCCTTGCTTTGTTTATTCCCTTGGACCTAAAAGTCTTGTGCCCGCATTGCGCAAGGGGCTGAGGTGGAGAGCAGTGAGCAGCACCACCTCTCTGGGCAAGTTGCGCCCTGCACCGTGGCGAACACCAGAGGTTACAAAACAGTCATTATTATAACTGACTTGACTAAGCTCTCAGGCGAGAACCATGGGGTGATGCCGTTTTGCCTGCTCTGGGGAACCACTGTTCTCTGTGCATGGGTGTCCTTGGCCTTAGAGACATGGGAGGGACAGTGGGCTGGGACTGGCATCTGGGCTGTTTCATGCCCTCTGAGGGGCCTCTGATTCGCCAACTCCTTGTTTCCTCAGGAGAATCATCATTTCAGCACTCAGTAGAGAAAATTACTTTTCGAGAGGACAGGAGATTATTGTTTTTTTGTTAAAAACTCTGACTCTATGACTGTCCTTGTGGCTTTGAGGACAAGGAAGGGGACAAGGGTCAGAAGGAGGACAAGGGTCAGGAAGAGAAGGCTTGGACTCCATGTCAGCATAAGTAACACTTGTATAAAAATACCAAAATGAGTTAGATGTGATGGAATGTCAAGTCAGATTCCTTTTAGGGACAGAGGTCACCAGAGAAGCTTGATAAGGGGTACTGGATAGGCACCTCAGGTGGGGGACCTGTATCACTTAGTTTTTTTCCCATTAAAAACCTGCCTTCCTGCTATTCACATTGGTTTTCTTCTCCCTTTCTCCACCCCCTCTGTGTCTGGCACTTCCCCCTCGGCTCGCCCTTCTTTCCCAGGTGTGTTTGATAACTGCTCCCACACAGCCAGTGACAAGGGCTGGGCCCTGGGGATCCGCCCAGGGAAGGACGCGGGAAGGCGAGATGCTCGCTTCTTCTTCTCCCTCCGCACCGACCGCGTGAAGAGGGCTACCACGGTGATTGGCCACAGTCGCTACCAACCAGGCACGTGGACGCACGTGGCAGCCACTTATGACGGACGGCGGATGGCCCTGTATGTGGATGGCACGCGGGTGGCTAGCAGCCCAGACCAGTCCGGCCCCCTGAACAGCCTGTTCATGACGTCATGCCGTTCTTTGCTCCTGGGGGGAGACGGCTCCGAGAAAGGGCATTATTTCCGTGGACACCTGGGCACACTGGTCTTGTGGTCAATGGCCCTCTCACAGAGCCACCTCCAGCACAGTCCTCAGCATCCAAGTGGGGTGGACGAGTTGACCACCCTGATGCTGACAGCCAGTTTTGAGCCCCTGGAAGAACAGTGGGTCCCCTTTAGAGATGACAAGTACCCGCGGCTTGAGGTTCTCCGGGGCTTTGAGCCAGAGCCCGAGATTCTGTCACCTCTGCAGCCCCCACCCTGTGGACAGACAGCGTGTGACAATGTAGAACTGATCTCCCAATACAATGTTCACTGGCCCTTACGGGGAGAGAAGGTGATCCGTTACCAGGTGGTGAACATCTGTGACGACGAGGGCCTGAACCCCACCGTGAGCGACGAGCAGATCCGCCGGCAACACGAGGCGCTCCGCGAGGCCTTCGGCCGCTACAACATCACCTGGCAGCTGAGTGTCCACCAGGTCCACAACTCCACCCTGCGCCACCGCGCTGTGCTCGTCAACTGTGAGCCCAGCAAGGTCGGCAACGACCACTGTGACCCCGAGTGTGAGCACCCGCTCACGGGCTACGATGGGGGCGACTGCCGCCTGCAGGGCCGGTGCTACTCCTGGAACCGCAGGGATGGGCTCTGCCACGTGGAGTGCAACAACATGCTGAACGACTTTGACGACGGGGACTGTTGTGACCCCGCGGCGGCCGACGTGCACAGGACCTGCTTCGACCCTGACTCGCCCAGGAGGTAAGGGAACGGGGCATGGGGCGTCCTGTTGGCATTGCTAGCTTCATTTTATCCCTTTGGCTTCCAGGGACCAAAAGAGGGTTTGCACACCCCCCAAATAAAACACGCATCCGCCTGCCAGATGTTATTGTCCTTTTGTGAAGTACTAGGTGTTGTGCCATGTAATTAGGGACACAGAGATGACCAGGAGATCAGCTGATCAGTCTTTATTACATCAGTTAATTTTAATTCTCTGTATTATCCTTGTCACTCCTGATGTTTTTCTTGTGCATTCATTTATTTGCCTTTCCCCAGCTCTACAAAATCAGGGCCCTGGTTAACCCTCATGCTTCCGGGACCTAGAACAGCTGCAGACATGCCTACTTGTTTGTCTCCTGTTTATCGTGATAAATGGGTGGATCTGTTGTGTCTGTCATCCTGAGGCAGAAGCCACTGAGAGGATTTCCATTTGTCAGCCCAAGCAAGGGTTGGGGAGTGTTAGAGGAAGACAAGAGAGGAGAGAAGCAGGGGGTAAACTTGTGAATTTGTATGTGTGGGCAAGGCTTCCCTGTTGCGTAACTGGTACCTTTGTACAAATTATAAAAAGGCTCACACCTGAGCTGCAGAGTTGGTGGGAGGTGGGAGGACTGGATGTCAGCTCCCCCTGGATGCTGAGATGGCTGCCTGTGTGTGTGTTGGCCACAATTTGTACGGTAATTCACGGTGTCCTTATATGTGGGCAGTCAGCTAACACCAGTTAATAGGTTCGCCTGTAGTTCAGGCATGTGGCGTTAAGGATGGAGTGTAAGATTTGGAATCGGGACACAGCTGAATTCAAGGCCTCATGGCTTCATTAGCTGTTGTACAAGTGTGTAAAGGGCGGTGATTGCAGTAGTGTTTGCACTACCTGTGCCCTGGGGTGGTTCTGTGAATCAGGTGAACTGATGTGCAGAAAAGTGCTTGGTAACTCCAAAGCTTTCAATGTACAAAAATAGTCCCAAACTAACATTAGTTATTATTATCGTTATTAGAGCTGACAGATGGGAAGCCTTTGTTTACATAGCAATGTGCAGGGAACTGATCATATTACCAGAAATATTCACATAAGAAAGATTCTGTTTGGGTTTGGTTTTTAGATTTTGATAACCTTAAGCAGAAGCTAAACCTTACTAGTAAGAGTGGTTGCCAGCTCTTAGAATTTCCAAAAAGATGGGGAAATCTGGCTTGTTCTTGTTTGTCTGCTGGTTGCTGACAACAGCCTGCTGCCTTGCCTGAGAGAGCTGGCTTCCATGGTACCCAGCCTCACTCTCCTTGGTATGAGCCTTTGTCCTCTGAATCCCTGCTGTCCGTGACCGTCATACCTGGGTATCTATCACCTGCTTGGCTTGCTGCCACCGTTGGCATAGTAACTCATCCTTTCCTGTCTGTGGACCCGCAAGTGTCTCAAACCTTATCCTGACATGCCAAACTTGCTGTGTGGAATAAAAGGAACTATTTATATTTTTGATAATTCAAAATATTTAAATCAAAGTAATAAATGCTCATGGTTAAAATGCCAAATTGTATCAAAAGGTGTAAAGAAGAATCATAGTCCCCTGCTTAACTCTTCCCCCATCCTTCTCCACTCTCTAGCCTTGCTCCCATATATAATTCTTTTACCTGTCTCTGCTGGTAATTACCTCCATATCTCCAAATATATTTCTTGATTCATCAATTTTAAACATTATGCATTGGCTTGCTCTTATTTATGATAAAGATGAGACTCTTTCATTGTTTCCTCCTTCTCTCCTCCTGTTGAAAATAGCATTCAACAGTTATTTTACTCTTTTTAGTTGAATCCGTTATATTTACAATATCACGACTATGAAATATTCTTTGTTGATGTTGAAGAACAAAGTATTATTCTGTTATTGTCTGTTTTTTCCTGGAATAGTTTCTTCCCACCCTCCCTCTACTCCCTGAGTCTCTGTTCCCTCCTTCCCTCCCTCCCTCCCTCCCTCTTTTTACCCCTTCCCTTCTTCCTTCCTTCATTCTTTTTTGATATCCTCAATTGTTTTTGCATGTTATAGCATAGCAGCTAATCTATAGAAATAGAATGTCTTTTTTTCCTTTACACTTTTCACATCTCCCTCCTAGTTCATTCTATTTTTCTCTCCACTTTCAATCTTTAGATCTGCTACACAGTTGTCATCCTGGAACTTCTCTTTCCTGCTTTTTTTTTTTTGGATTAGAACCACTGTGTCCTGAATTGCATGAGTATCTCTTAATTTACTACGTATTTCTCTGGAAAACATCCTTAAGTAACTTTCTAAGAAAGGATGTTTTAGGTAATTTTTCTTTGAAAATGGATTTTGCAAAATGTTTTTAATCTTGCCTTTACACAATACTGATAGTTTGTCTTTATGTAAAATTTTGGGGTAAAACACCTTTCAAACTTTTAAATTTATTAATTGCCTCTAGCTTTCATTCTGATAATTGTGAGTCTTTTTAGAGGTAGAATGTTTTTTCTTTTAAAAACTGTTTAGAATCTTATCCTTAGCCTTGTTATTTTGGGGATATTATAATATATTTTTTTTTAGCATTGGACTTTTTTTTTAGCATTGGACTTTTATTCTTCTTTCATTGAGCACTCAGTTTCAACACTCATATCCTTCACCTCTGGCAAGTTCTATTAAATCTATACTTAGATTTTAAAAAAGTCAGTTTTCTTCTGTTCTCTTTTCTACCCTGAATCTCCTCAGGTTGGATCTCCTGAATTTATTCTGGGTTTGGATTTTTTTCTCCCCTCTCATATGGTCTATCTTGTTATTTTGTTCTATTTTTTTTTTTTTTTTGGAGAGTTTCTTGAGTTTATCCTCCACCTCTTTTATTGAATTGTTTTTATTTCTGCAATCATATTTTTAAGACCTTTCTATTCTTTGACTTACTGTAGTAATCCATTTTTATTTTAAGGATGCAGCCTTTTTTGATGCTAAAAGTGAGATCCATTCTGATTTTTTAGGTACACTATACCAGGTTGATCTGTAGACAACCCTTCCCCCCCGATTCCTGTTTGTCTTTTTTGCTTGAAGATTTCCTCAAGTATCTAATGCATGTTCAGTGTAAGAAGCACCATTTCACACTTATATTTATGACAAACTAAAAAGGATCATTATCTCTGAATTTCCGTTTCTGGAGGAAGAAATCTGAAGGCAGGACATAGAGGAGAGGAGTTTTCTCTCTCCTAAGTCCTTTATACTTATTTCATTAAGGATTTTTTTTTCCTCCCTCACCCTCTGCCTTGTAGTTCTTGTGTTGAATTTTGTTATTAAAAACAGTAAGCATTTTTCATAACTCTTATTGGCAAGAACCATATTTTGAAAAACTATTCCCATGTTGTGCCAGATACAGTAAACTAAACAGAAGGAAATTAAAAAAATATATGAAGAATAGGTGCTAACAACTAGTGGAGGGGTTTAGTTATTTTATGTAAATTCCCCAGGTTTAAATATCCAGGCTGGGGCACTAAAAGCTGAATATGGAGTGTAGACTGCCTTTCTGAGCCACAGCTTGGACTGTTGGAAAGGGCTTTGCATTCATGGAGACATGGATCTAGAATTCGGTGAGGGCTTGTGATTTGGCGGAGTCATTGGTGCCTCTGAACTAAGTTGCCCATGTACAGCATCCCTGTTATCACAGAACTGAAGCTCACAATTCCATTATACTGAGACTCTGAAGGGAATCCAGCCTCAGCAAATGTTTGCCAGATATTTATTGAGAAAACCAAGTGTGCCAGGCACAGAGTCCTTCCATTCAGGAGCTCACAGTTTGGTTGGGGGTGGTTGGGAAGTGGAGGACGCACCTACAGATAAGTCACTAACATGCAGCTGCCACAATTGGTGTATGAATAATCCGCCTCATTTCTCAAAGCCTACTCAACGTTCCCCCTTTCCCAGCACGGCCAGAAACCAGAAATCTAGCCCGAAGAAGCTCCTCTCCCAAAGGCTCAGAGGAGAGAGCCTGAAGAATCCAGCATCAAACATCTGTATCCCAGATGGGCCTATCAAAGGGAGAGTATTTATCAGACTTGGGCCTGGTCGAGAGGAGGTATGAATTATAGATATGTTACCCAGCCAGTTGAACAGTATTACTGAGATAGAGGAACTTGGCTGTGGGTAGGGAAGGCTACATAGGCCAGATGTCTATTTCTCTGTAGTAGCTGCCCTTAGAGAGGGTCTGCAAGGGCCGAGGAAGGAAGGGGGCTGAGAGTCCACCTCAGGACAGTCACAAATGTCATTGGTCACTCCTGTGACACATCCTAGGAAGCGAAGCCAAGGGACTCTCTCTGCCCTTGGGGAAACTCGCCTCCCCTGATCCTTGGAGACTTCATCTTCTTTTGGTCATGAATTGTTCCTGTTATTTTTCTTTCTAAAATGATGTCTCAGAGACAAAGGCTTCTTTGCTGCTGAACCGACTTTCTCTCCCTTGTTCTTCCTCTCTTTTCCCATCAGAGTGGAGCTGAGTACCCAGCGGAACTGGAACAGCAGGTTTGCCTCTCTGTTTTGGTTTCTGTGTGTCAGGTTTCATAATATTATCATGCAGGGAAAGTCACCAAATAAAAACAAACACTGAGAGGGCTGAGCGCTGTTTTAGCAGCCGTCCATCACTGAGTGTCAGGCCATGCTGTGAGGCAGACGAGGGGGTGCCCTCCACTTGTTTTCAGAGGCCTGTGGTGGGCTAAGGTCGCTGTGTGCGGGTGACTCACTGTCTCATCTTTGCCTCCTTCCCTGAGTGTTGCTCTTGGGGCATTTGAGGGCAGTGGGCGGCTGTACATAGCCATGCTGGGACATGGCCCACTTTCCTCTAAAAGGGTCCTCCAGGCGGGGGCGGGGAGGGGCACGGAGAGAGCAGCGCCCCCGCAGTTGCGCACTGCAGGGCGCGTTGCCCTGGGGCAGGAGGGCCGCTGCCCACGCCTCCTCCGAGGGGAGCAGGTGGAGAGCTCCACGCTGCGCAGGCCTGGACCCGGGGGACTAGCTGGCGGC